CTCCAGCCCTGAGACCCATCGCCCCCACCCACCTCCAGCCCTGAGACCTTCATTGCCTAAGTCCCCAAACACTTGGTCACTGTCTGATCTTCTTAACCGCATTAGGAAACAACCACCAGGGAAGCCCAGGAAACAAAGATCATCGCAGCAATCATAACCTGGTTTTATGATACTGATTTCTGCTTTAGGCCCAGGTTTTAAACTCTGATGGGGTCTATGAGTTTCAGGGAGTTGAACATTCACCTTGCCTTACCTGCCTAATTTATTCACCAAGGGGCCGACCATGAGGGAGCCGAGGAAGCCTCCAAAGGGAAACATGGACACAGAAACCGACCACAGCAGGGTCAAGGAAAATTCGCTTATGTATTCACCGATTCTGTCATAGTAGGTCTCGTTATAAAATGCTTTCATGAGCTGGAGAGCAAAGCAAAACAGAGCACCAAAATAATCTGAGCTGGGTTTGCAGAAAGAACAGTGTAAGTTGTTGGGCCACCCGATGGGATGAGCTGGGCATGTTGGAACATCAACACGATTAAGTGGAGGAGAGGAATGAAGATTAACAGCAATTAGCAGGGGGTACCCACGCGGGGCGGGTGGCTGGGAGGCCTCTGATGGGCAAGCTGCCGGGGATGTTTCTTTTTTTTTTCTTTAAAGAATTTGATTGGTTCTCTTTATTATTTATTTATTTATTTGGCTACGCCCCGCAGCGTGTGGGATCTTAGTCCCCCGACAAGGGATCGAACCCGCGCCCCCTGCAGTGGACGCTTGGAGTCTTAACCACTGGACCGCCGGGGAGGTCCCTGCCCAGGATGTTTCTAACCCCAGAAAGGAATGACTCCAGGCTCCCAATCACGGAATCAATGCTGGATGAGCCTGGCCCCTCCAGACTCTGCTGTGGATTACGAGGCTGTGGAAGATCAGAGTGCCCCCAAACCGACCCCCCACCCCTGGAGGCCAGCCCACCATGTGTCCAGCCAGGCCTGGCTCTCCACGAGAACCTGGTGTGTCCCCATGACCCTGTGCCTGCAAGTCCCTTGGGCTTGCGCTGTTTATTTCATGGGTTTCCCCCACCCTTCACTTGAGGTCCCACTGTGTGCCCTCAGTGTCTGTACAGTCCCACCCTAGTGGCCACCTGGGGAACCGGCTGCTCCAAACCCACCTCCCTGTTCCCGGGGGGCTGCGTCTCGCCCACCATAGCGACCTACCTTGGCAGGGGAGTTAATAGCAGCCACGTTGTACCCATACTGGAAGGATGACCCAAAGGCAGCTATCAGCGTCGCCAGAGCAAGCACTGGTATCAGCTTCTGCAGGAGGAGAGATCACGGCTTTAGGTAAGGAAGCAACCCGGGGCTCCGGGGAGCTCCTGATTTACTCAGAGTCTCGCAGAAAGATGGATGTAATGGGATCCGAAGACCCGTGGTCTTTCAACCACTCCATGCCTGGAAACCTACCCTCCACGCACCTTGGGTGGAGCAGGTTTCTTTAACCGTAGCACTTAAGCCTGGATAATCCTCCTGGATAATCCTTTGTTGTGGGAGGCTGTCCTGTGTGCACTGTAGAGACACCCCTCACCCCATCTGGGACAACCTAAATGTCTCCAGACGTTGCTAAATGTCCCTGGGGGCAGGTGGGGAATCGCCCCTGGTTGAGAACCACTGGGTCTCAACAAAACCGAAGGGTCACCCCCTCCAACACGCCACCTAATGTCTGAGCTGCTCCTGTGACGTTCCTGCGGGGGACTGCCTCTGCTGATTGCAGCAAATGCACTCAGGCACTGCCTCAAACACACCCCCCCCCCCAAAACTCAGAGAGAAAGTGTGAAAATTTTTAATTTTTTAGGGCCACTGATTAACTTCCTTTAGCCTCTGGACTGTTGCTCTAAGAGGCAGAAGGCATGGTGAAAGAAATATTTAAATTTAAAGATTTCTGGGGACTCTTAAACACACACATTCTGTGACGATATCCCCTTTGACACCTGGGTAACTGAACACTCATTTAAGACAATCTTTAATGACACGTGGGAATTCATTAATAAAAGAATGAAAATTGGGAGAAAAATAAAAGTGGAAAGAGCTTTGCTCTTAGAATCTATGGATCTCAGTTTGAATTTGCCCACTGCCACTTTCTGGCTTAATTTCTGTGATCTTCAGTTTCCTCATCTTTAGCGTTAGGATAATAACACCTCTCGGAGTTATTGCAAGGATTCATTATGGAAGCGTCTAGCTGTGGAGGTGAATCCACTGACTGGGGTGGGCCTGGGCTCTCTGGACCCACCATTGACGCCCTTCATCCTGTACTACAACCGAGGTCCCCATCACATGAGACTCAGCCCCTCTGGTGGTGAGCTGAGGTCCTCATGTCTCCCCTGGGCAGCATCCCTCCGAATCTAAGGGGGAACCTCTTGAGAGAGGCAAGTAGGAGCAGGACAGGCAGAGAAACAGTGGGCACCTGGGCCTCGCCTCATGCCCGGGGTGGACCGCTGAGCTAGTGACCCCCTCCCTGACCCCACAGAGCAGGTGCAGGACCCACAGGAGTCCTGGTCAAGAGCAGAACCGCAAGTGAAACTTTGCCCGTCTCACCTCTTCTACCAAATAATTAACAAATGCTTAATTCACAGGAAGTTTCTGGTAAAGATGATAAGAGCCACAGACAAGGCAGCCTATCAAGGAGCAGCGGGCTCTGGTTTCCAGTCTCTCCTCAGGCCCCACCACCCCCTCGGGCCAGGGGGGCAGCAGGTGACAGAAGTGGGGGGAGCAGGGGATGGTGCCCCGGAGGGGAGGCGGGTTCCAGGGCTGTTGCTACACCGTGTTTTCTAAAGGCAGGGGGTACGCAAGTAGGCATACCCACCCCACCCCCAAAACCCCACCCAGGAGGTAGCATAGGGCCAACCATGTTACACTTCACCTCCTGAAGTGCTCTAGGTATTCATTCATTCACTCATTCATTCATTCACACATTGAGCACCCACTGTGAGCCAGCCATGGTTCTAGGTTCTAGCTACTAGGGATATAGTGGAGAAGAAAACAAAGAGCCCTGCCCTATAGCTGTCCTATTGCTTGATTTGGCGGAAGGGAGGAAGGAAGGAGGGGAGGGAAGGAGGCGAGGAAGGAAAAAAAATGTTGATTAAAATTTCTCCTCTTCTAATTCCCTTCCCAGTAAATGACAAACTGTAAATGCACCAGGTTTCATTCATACTGCAGATGCAACTCCAACATTCCACTTTGATGGGTCCTAAGGTTTGAAGTCCTCAGCCAAGCTCAGTGCGGGAGCTGGCTGGTGTCCCGGGGCTCATGCCCCAGACTGGGGGGATCCTGCCAGGTACGTGGATAGCCAGCTCTCTGACTGCTTTTATGGGATTCTAGCAAAAATTATCAGAGACCTCACGCTGTAGAGTGTCTAAGCCTAGAGCACATAATTCAACTTCTATTCCTTGGCTTCCTCCTTGAATTCAAGCCATAGGCACATTCTAAGGACCCGTAGGAATCAGGGTTCACCTTTGTGGAAATAGCAAAGACATTCTGGGTAAGTTCTCAAGTTCTCACCGACCTTGCTGGTCCAAATGCCTTCATTCTTATGAAACAAAATTATTTTTAAGGCAGGAAAAGAAAAAGTTAACATAAAATTTTCTCTGCCATTTGAGCTACTATCCCCTCCCCTTTAGTGTGCATTAAGCATATGCGTTACACATTAACTAGATCCCCTTAGAGGACACAGGATTGCCTACTCACAGAAAGGAAGAAAAACAACGACAACAAACAATGCCCCTCTGGCACCAGCAAGCTAAATCCTTAGGAGATAACATTCCTTTCCCAATCCTGTAAGGGGTCACACCTCGTTAGACTATGTAAACTGTCATATGTTACTTTGATGTATAACACTTCGTCTCAAAAATTATATAACTGTGCTCTGACTTCTCACAGGAAGAACAGTCCTCAGAGCTTTCTTTTTTGTGTGTGTGTGGTACGCGGGCCTCTCACTGTTGGGGCCTCTCACTGTTGGGGCCTCTCCCGCCGCGGAGCAGAGGCTTCGGACGCGCAGGCTCAGCGGCCATGGCTCACGGGCCCAGCCGCTCCACGGCATGTGGGATCTTCCCGGACCGGGGCACGAACCCGTGTCCCCTGCATCGGCAGGCGGACTCTCAACCACTGTGCCACCAGGGAAGCCCCCTCAGAGCTTTCTGAAAGACTGGCTGCCAGGTTATAATCCTCAGGTTGGGTCGAATAAAAATTTCATTTCTTTCTTAGATTGACCGTTGATTAATTTTTTTTCATGGACGATGCAATAAACATTGCATTGCATATTTATTGACAGCTGTCTATGATCTGTGTACCATGCTGTAGTCCAGTGAGCAAAACAGCTGTCCTCAGGAAGACTGTGGTCCAATGGGAAAGACAGACATTTTTTTAAAACTTCATAATAATTTAATAATGAAACTAGAACTGGAGTAAGTTTTATGAAGAAAATCCACAGAAGTGGTTAAAGAGGGGAGTCAGGAAAGTGACTGAGAGAGGATGGGGGCCCGGGTAGGGGAGTGGCTGAGGCAGGGGAGCAAGAGGTACCGCTTTGAGGACTATTCAGGAAGTAAAATCAAGGGATGCGGTACCCCTTGAGAAAAATGGAAATCAAAACCACAACGTGATACCACTTCTCACTCGTTAGGATGGTTAAAACCAACAAGACAGGTAAATGTGTTTATGAGGATGTTGAGAAAATTGGAACCCTCTCACATTGCTTATGGGATTGTAAAATGGTGCAGCCACTTCGGAAAAGAGTCCGGCAGTTCCTCAAAAAGTTAAACACAGAGTAAACATATGACCCAGCAATTCCACTCCTAGGTATATACCCAAGAGAATGAAAACACATATTCATGCAAACTTGATCACAAATGTTCATAGCAGCATTTTCATCGTAACCAAGAAGTGGAAACAACCCAAATGTCTATGAGCTGATGAACTGATAAGCAAAATGTGGGATATTCATGCAATGGAATATTATTTGGCCACGAAAAGGAATGAAGCAGTGATACTCGCTACAAAGTGGATGAACCTTGAACACAAGCTACGTGAAAGAAGCCAGTCACAGGAGACCACCTGGTTCCATCGATGTGAAATGTCCAGAATAGGCAGGTCCACAGAGACAGAGATAAATCAGTGATTGCCCAGGGCTGGGGGAGAAGAGAAGGAGATGGGGGGAAATGCGGAGTGACTGTCAGTGGGTAGGGGGTTTCTTTTAGGGGTGATGAAAATGTTCTAAAATTGATCGTGGTGATGGATACACGACTCTGTGAATATATATTGAATTATATACTTTAAAGGGGTGAATTGTATGGTCTGGGAGTTATATTCTCAATAAAGTTACTATATAAAAAAGGCATGTAAGAGAAATTCAGGGCTTAAGCTTTCTTTTCCTTTCTCTTTTCCTTTTCTTTCCTTTCCAAGAGGGGAAAAAAAAGAATTTGGTACTGGGCAGGATTAGGGCATGAGGGAGGATGTCCAGGTCTCCGACCATCTTATTGAAAATGACAAATGGCTCAGTGTCCTCAAGACATGAGAGGGGACCCTCCTCAGAGGCCAGGGGAAGCCGGGACTATGAACTGTGCTTTTGAGAAAGACTAGGAACCAAATCCCTCATGCCCAAGGTAAACTGGCTTCCTGTTTTTCAAAGTGCTGAGAACATTCTGAGGCCTCAGTGAAGCAACCACCTTCAGGGCTAGCCCTCTGACAGGGTGTGATTCAAGCTCTGGGGAGAAAGCCCCACCCAAACCATTTCTCTCTTAGGGATTTGTCTCCAATTTCTCTTTCTACCACCAGAGAGACACTCTCAGTCTCAGACTTTTCCTTGTCAGGCGTCTCCAGTCAGAATGCAAATATGCCTGGAAAAGTGAGTCCCTATGAATTATTAACACTATAAGTCACTGTATCACACTACGGAATGAACCCAAATTTTCACAAACATTCCTTGAGGTTCGAGTGACAAGGGGAGAGAGGAGAGACAAACGTCATAACATTTTAGAGCTGGAGGGGCCAAGTGTTGTTGCTGCGGGGGGTTTACAGCGTGGCCACTGCAGCCCAAGAACAAGGGGTTGAATCCTGCCTCTCCTGCTGCTGACTGTGTGGCCTAGGGCCAGCTACTAAACCTCTCTGTGTCTTGGCTCCTTCATCTGTACAATGGGGACAATGATACTGCCTTCCTCACAGGACTGATATGGGGAATAAGTGAGTTCATATATGTGAAACAGGCCCGCAGCTGGCTCGTGGTGGTACACACTCCAAGCATTACACATTATATCACGGTTTGCTATCAATATTAATTATTAACAATGAGAACCCAGAGGGGAAGTTAGTAGCTCAACGACACTAAACTAGTTGGTGGTGGAGACACTCCACAAAAAATTCTGTTTTCACTTTCCAAAGCATTTTGGCATTTTTTTCTAATCATCTTATTTGTTTCTTTCAGGCCAAGAGTCCTTTTTCCCGGCGGAAAGTCCTTGATGCACACCAGATTCATGTCTTTTCTCTTTACATATGAGGAACCCAAAGTCCAGTGAGGCCGTGGTCACACAGCCACCAGGGGACAGCCAGCCAGGCCCTCCCCACCAGCCCTGAGCGGCCCCTGGCAGCCCAGCCTCTGTGGCCTGAGCTGGCACCCCCACTTCCACTCAGCTCCTAAATCCCTCCTTGGCTTCACTTTGTGATTTGAAGGTTCTTTTACAGTCACCACTGGAATAGTTCTGTTTTGACGTCTCCTGGGACACCCGGCATATATTCACCCAAAGGGCCAGGTCTGCCCTCAGTCACCTGGGAAGGGGCAGCCTGCATCCCCCTGGATGGATCCCTGGAGGAGGCCCCCTTCCTTGGGGGACTGCAGGAGCAGGTGGCTGTGATCAGCCCATATCTTTTGCATGTGACCATTTAATCATCTCCTTTCAAAATGTATCGTGCGTTTTCAGGGACCACCACGCAGGGTGTTTCTGTTCTTTTGCAGCCCCACCTGAGGACACAGCTGGGCGGTGCACTTCTTTTGAAGAGACGGCACAGACCAGACCAGGGCCCCCCGACCCCCAAATCCCTGAGTTCTTATTACCTCACAGCTCGTTTTCTATAAAATAGAGGCGGTAACATTTGACCTAACACGTTCTTGTTGTCATGAAGTCCACAAGACAATCCCTGTGGAGTGACGTAGTAATCTCTAAAGCAGGCAATCTCGTGGGCGAGAGTGCTACTGGCATCTAGTGAGCAGACACCAGGGATGCTGCTCAACATTCTACAACACCCAGGCCAGCCCCCCATGGCAAAGAACTATCCGGCCCCCAAAGTCAGTAGTGCTCTGCTCTAAAGGATGGTCACACAATAATAACACTTATGGGGGATCCACTCTGTGCTAGGTAATTTACACACGTGATCTCACTTACTTGTTCCAGCATCCCTCTGAGGTGGTATGGTTATTATTCCCATTTTACAGGTGAGAAAACCAAGGCACAGAGCAGTTAAATAACTTGCCCAAGTTCCCACAGCTAGAATAGGATGGAGCAGGAATGAATCCCAGGTACTTCTACCTCTCAGACCTGTCCTTAATCTGTGAGCTACAGAGCATGGACCCAACCTGTCTATGGCAAGGCTCTCTTGTCCACGACTGAATAAATAATAATTTGCACATATAAGTACCTCCCCCATCAATATAAGCAGATGCTGTTGTGATGAATAAAATGCAAATTTCTTAAAAGTGTTAATAAATTTATGTTACCTTTCTGTCCTTATGCATTTTCCTCAATCAAAAGACTCTAGGACTTCCCTGGTGGCGCAGTGGTTAAGAATCCGCCTGCCAATGCAGGGGACACGGGTTCGAGCCCTGGTCCGGGAAGATCCCACATGCCGCGGAGCAACTAAGCCCGTGTGCCACAACTACTGAGCCTGCATGCTGCAACTACTGAAGCCCGCGCGCCTAGAGCCCGTGCTCTGCAACAAGAGAAGCTACCGCAATGAGAAGCCCGCGCACCGCAACGAAGAGTAGCCCCCGCTCGCCGCAACTAGAGAAAGCCCGTGTGCAGCAGTGAAGATCCAACGCAGCAAAAAAATAAAAATTAAAAAAATTTATTAAAAAAAAGGCTCTAAAAGTACAACGACAATTATATGGAGGCCAAGGGTGGGTGGGAAGAGGTTCAGAAAAATCTTTCGTCTCTAAAAGAAAAGGATTCTGATTATCTAAAAGGGAGGGAACCTCTGCTACAGATCTGAGTTCAATTCAAATCTTGCAACATCTTCTCTATCTTCTTTTCGTGCTGGCTTAGCTCTTCACCTGCTGAAAAGGTTAGTGAAAATGCCCTGAAGCGAAAATCAAAACAAATCAAAAAACTCTCACAGGCCATGTGTAAGGATTTTGTTGCCGGTTTCCGAAGCCCTTCACCTCAAGTTCTTACAGTGAGGGAAGTTGTGACAAACTCATCCTTTGAGTCTCATCATTTCGGTCCCAGCCCAAAGAACCTCTAAATCTCAATGTGTCTAAATGTCTCCTCTCTCTAGTCCCTGTAAAAGTCCAGCTGCTGGGTGAGCTCTGAGGGGCAGGTGCCCCAGTGGTCCTCGCCGTGCACAGAGCTCCGAAGAGCATCCCCAGCAACGCCGAACAGGCCCTGCCGTGGGGCTGCTGCTTGCTGTCTCGACAGCAAACTTACCCCTTCCCTCCTGACTGCGTCCTGTTGCTCCATCTTTGCTCTGGAAGCGCAGGGTCCTGCTTATTTTCTTTCAGCCAAAATAACAAATGCACTGAATGGCGAGAGAAGACATTCTGTCTGTACTTTGGCCAAGCCAGGTAACAGCCAATAGCATTTTTATAGGCGGGCTAAGGCAGAATAACCCTTTCGGGAACCCAGAGGTTTGTCTCGTTTTCGCTTCTTCTTTTAAGGGAGATGTCTGGGGTCTAACTCAGCAAGTGGGCACCCCCCAGGGACTGCAGGCGCAGTGCCTTCCCGATTGGGACAGTCTGCGGTATTTCCTTACTGCGAAAGTCAGGCTCGTGGTGAGTGACTGGAAGGGTTATTTCCGTCACAAACACATGGAAAGCAGCAGGTTCCAGTGACCCTACAACACAGCAGGTAACATGGGGGCAGGAGATGGGGTCATTAGAGGCTTCTCAGGAGTGGTCCCTGGCAGGAAGCCTGCAGCCAAATCTCTCCACTAGGAAGTCGGCTTTTGCCCCAACTACCACGCAACACTTTCCTCAGAAAGTTTATTTTCCTTTTTAAGGAACTCAGAGTCGCCTAGAGATGAGATTTTCTGTGCAATCATCACTATTGCAAAAGCAGTAAATATTTCAAATCCCTTTATCTGCAGGGCAGGGAAAGTGAGTCACAGCTGCTTGTCTGGGTCCTCCATGCATGGCCAGGCCCCTGTCGGCCCCCTGTGCTCAGCACGTGTTTGGCTGCCATGCGGCCACCACACCAGGTCAAGTGGCCCAAATCCAGAGCAGGCTTGCAAAGCCGATGGGCTTTCATCCTTACAGGGCATGTTCCCTGTTTTATTTGCTGTGGCGCAAATCCAGTTAATGTAGTCACATCTTCCCCTGTTCACCTTCAAATGACTGTTAACTGGGGGTCCACTGTGTGTCGGGCACTGGTCTTGGCATCAGTGGCAAACTCGGGAATTGTCATCAGGTCCCTCTGTGTGGGAGGCTGAGGAAGGTGACAGCACGCACGCGCGCGCGCGCGCGCGCGCGCGTGTGTGTGTGTGTGTGTGTGTGTGTGTGTTGGTCCCTGCTTCCCCATTCACGTGGGGGGTTTGGGGGGATAGGGAGGTGATGGGAGCAGTGGGGGGCGGGACTGACCATTTCCTTTCTCTAACTTCATCTCCTGTCCTTTTTCTCCTGGGTCACAGCCCTAATACCATGATTTCCCACTGAGGTTTGGCAAGACCAGAGGTTCCCAATTATTTCAAAGAGTTTTGAAAAATTCTCCAAAGAAAATGCACTTTAGTTGCGGGGCGGCGGACGGGAGAGGGGTGGGGGGGGTGAAGGGAAGGGGACAGGTTGGGAAAGCAAAAAGAGCTGTCAGAAGTTTGCCACCATGGGTCATTGCCAGGTCCAGAGGAAATCAAGAGAACCACTTCTAGGCCCAGAGCTTCCACTTCGCTCCCTGGGGAGCTGAAAGCTGAGAGATGGGGTTGGTGTAGGCCGATGCAAACCTCCCCTCCCCCGGCCTCGACCTCCCACCTGGAGTGGAGGTGGTGGGAGGAGCCGGTGGCCCGGCCTGGGCCGGAGGGGGCTCTCCTGTCCCGGGGAGGCGGGGGGGGGGGG